ATGTCAATTTTGCATTCACATCAAAATCATCATTGTTTTGCGGTCTATACCGATAACAAAGCATATATTAAATTATTACTAGCGGCTCACCCTCGCTTCTTTCGGGTTCAAAACCGACAAGCAAAGACAAATCTATCCCACGGGAACCGTACATTTTTCCGGGATAAAAAGTAGCCTATTTGTTATTCTGATGTATGAACTATATTATTGTAAAGTTTCATTAAAATCCAATCAGTAGTTTTTGTGTAGGTACTAAGTTGTATAAGTTACTAGGTATAGTTTTTTAACTATCCCACGGGAACTAATTTGAAAAAATCTGGATTTGTTCTATTTCTCTTTTTTTTTTCTATGTACAGACATTCGACCTCTACAGATTTATTATATGAATAGATTACAAAAACAATTTTCAAAAAAATATGACCCGTCTATGGTTTTATTGTACGTGTAAGATTATGTATATCTCATTTTTTATTGCACATAAAATAACAGAATTTTACATTGTAGTTAGAAAATGTATAAGAGGCGACCTTTTCTCTCAAACAACGAGCTATTCTAGTCAACGTTAAAATGTAGCTGTGTGTGAAGTAGCAGAGCTAAAGTTTTTGTTTCTTTATAGATTTACATACCTATCATTTTAGTTAAAACAGTATGTATGATTACTGAAAATAACCAATTTAAACATTCCAAATAGAAAACATTTCTGTAGAAAAATATATGTATCCCAATACCTAGAAAAAGTAAAAATCAAAACAACTTTATCTTTCAGTTTATTTGTCAATCATGACAAGTATATATAACTAATAATTTCTTTAGAACTTTGCAACAGAAACACAAGCAGTTTAACAATGTGAGGTTATAAGAAGTGCGTAATCAAAATTACAGGTATTAATTAGTAGGATAGCTAAGTATATTAGAAGTACTAATTCCGAGACGTTAATAATTCCATATAAAATGAAAGAATATTATTACATTGCTCTTGAAATATGTTTCTGTCGCCAAATAGATTGTTAGATGCTCGTCAGAGGGTTTCAAATAATTGAATTATCGGCAACAAGCGACAAGGGTCCTCGGAGTTCCCAGTCCTTTATATATTATTAGAACGAGGAAAATGTTACTAGTGAATTTCGGCTAAGTCCATAATAAACTATTTTCCAGAAGTGACTTTTTCAAACCAATTTCCAAACTTTATTATACAGTATATTAGAGTAAGATAACGACTCTAGCCTGTTACAACTTAAAAAAAGCGAACTAAAAACATGAGAACAAGTTAAAGAAAAACTCGTATACTACTCGTAACTGCGAGTCTTGCTACGGGTAACAAGTGTATGTATATCCGAAGGTATGTATATCCGATTCCGAAAAAATTTAATCGATCAAATATCATACTTCTAGGCCCCAGACGAGCTTAGACTGAGCATTGTAAGTGAAATAATTTAACATTTTTATCAAGTAGAATTATTATTTAATTTACACATATATTATTATACCATATGTATTACAATATTAAAATGCTAAGAAATTTACCTTTTTTTTCAATAAACTAAAGCACTTGTTTATTTTTTTTAAATTACAATAAAGTTGAAAACATAATTCAAAACTTAGAGGATACCTAATAATTATTCTTTATTTACATTGAACTCTAAAATGTAGTAAACATTTTTTTTGTTTAGTTTTTATATGTTTTGTTTAAGTTTTATTTAAAGGTTGGTAACGTTACGTTTGTACAAACAAGAATTGATTTAATCATATGGGGTATCCTTATGCTCAATGTCTGCGTAATAATGCTACTTACTATATTTGTTTTATAAAAGATCTAGATTTAGCTTACATAAAAGAACTTATGCTTTCACGTTAAAGTTTAATTTTAAAAGAAACATATATTAAAGTATATAATAAATCATTTGAGAGAAATACTTTGGGAGCTAAAATAAAAAAAAGAGCGTGTGTGTGCAATTCACACATTGTAGAAGTGAAACTTAATATTATATATTTGTCAGACAATAGCAGCATTTACCATGACAATATGGTGTATTCTATCTCAGTCACTCACCGGCATACGCCTATATATGTAGGTATTTATTTTTTGTCTCTTTATTAGTGTCGCATTTCCGTTTCATTTCCGTTTCATCGAGTTTCAAATCACAAGGATTCTAAAGAAGTTTCACTTCAAAAACAATTGTTATGCCATTCAAGAGTTTTGTTATACTGGAATATCTCATATATATCTGGATACATAAGAGTAAAATGTCACTGTGCCACACACTCTAAGCAATAAATAATGAATGGCATGAAAAGTTACGTGGTCATAAAACTCGGACAGTGTGAAAATAAATCTCTATTTGGATTTTAGAAGTACTAGGTAGACATAACGTACCACTAGTATATCTACATTTAATGTTACTTTGTGTAATACATTTTACATTTCGGCTTTTGTAATTCTAAAGGCAGATTTTTCAAAGAATTCTTTGAAGAGATTTAACTATTGTTTTCAAGCCATTGAGGCAGTGGTAGCCCAGTGGTAAAGCGCTCGCTTGGAAAATCGAGTGAAACGAGTTCAAAATTCGGGTCTCGCACCTTAGATATTTTCATGTGCGAATCATTTCTAACATGTTTACTACTCGCTTTACGAAGGAAAACATCGTTAGGAAACCTGCATGTCTGAGACAACCTACCAAGTTTTCGACGTACATGTGAGGTCCGCCAACCCGCACTTGGCCAGCGTGGTGGACTATGGCCTGATGCCCATCGTATTGAAGGGAGGCCCGTGCCCAGCAGTGGGACGTTAAAAAAGGGTTGAATGCGTACAATACATACAACTATTGTTTTCTAACAAGTATAATTTTTAATTTATAAGATAGTCGTCTTTTACTTTACGAATAATATTTACTTGAAAAGTAAAAACTGAGCTTCAAAAATACTTTCTATTTTGCTTCCATGGAAAGTAAAATATGTGTCATTCCCTGAAAGGGCTGTTCTTACAAAAATATATTTAACCTAAGTGTAGTACGGGTTGGTCGCTATTTAGAATTATTTATTTAAAAACACTATTTTTTTCTAATAGAAATACAAAATGCAGTTTAGTATATGTTATACCGTTTATTGAAAATAATAAACATCTCTTGACCATTCATAATTTACAATCGAAAATATTTTATTCATATGCTAAATTTATCTTACATCAAATTGTACATACATGGTTGCTTCGAATACAATGATTAAAAGCGTGTTTTTTAAAAAGATTCTATACATATTTTGAAAGATACATCAGATTAAATGTAGGAAATAAATATGTTGATATCATTGCAACTCAAATGATCAAAAGAAATATATTTTAATAGCATATTTCATTTAATCTGAATGTATCTCTCGGTGCAATTAAGTAATGATAAAAATACCACATTTTATCTTAAATAAGCGTAGCCAAAGGTCTTGTCACATAAAATATGTGCGTATTTTGTACGTAAAATTTATTTTATAGAAACATTAGTCTTGGTAAAAGTAAGATAAGGAAAACGATTATTGGTAGACATTAACTTTTCTAACGCCGTATATTAAAGAATAAAGCAGTAATATATAAATATCGCATCTCGCAATCAAAAATTATCTCTATCGACCATCAGTACAAGCTTTCTAGTTACCTATACCACCAGTAGAATACGTCTATATTTTGACATTTGCCTAAAAGTTAAAAGATCGTAAATCATCATTTAATTGACATACAACCTACAAATTTACAGTTCTATCAAAATTACTTTAAATTACTACTCTACCAATTTAATTGTTTAATTGGCACTTTAAACCATATTTAACTATTAAATACTATTTACAAGCAAGATGGGTTCATGTAATAGTTACAATTAGTGTCTTTAATCTATAAAAGCATGGTTCTTATAATGTATTTGAACCTGAAGTTTATTAGAACATTTAACATTAATATCACTTTTGGCAATTTATATAATTTTAGATGTTATATAAATAACTGCGATATTACTCTTAATAATTATACATAATTTATTTTAAAATATATGCACCGACTTTTGATAATAATAATAGATATTAAATATTATATAAGTTATCATTAAAAATTATTTAGTAACAAATTGTTTAATTTCATTGCTGCTCGCAAAACTGTGAGTTGACTTTAGATGTCGTTACTATCTTTTTTTATTGTTATGTTATTTAGTTAGTTATTCATTTATTTGCTTTTAATTTAATTTGCTTGATTTTAATTTTGTATTATATGTTCTTATTATATGTTTAAAGGACAGTGATTTAATGTTATAAGGCACTGCCTTAAAATGTAAACTATACATATTTACATTTCAAATATATTTTTAAGATACATTTGGTTTTTTTTAAATTAAATTTGATAAGATTATAAAATTATAAACGTAATTAATAAACAAGTATAAATTATATTGTGTAAATATTTGTTACACAAATGATAATAATTAATTATGTTGTCCAAAGCTTTTATTATACTTACTTTAATTTTCGAAGCAAGATTTGTTTTCATTTTAAGACCTTTAATAATGTACCAGTTTTCAGTTTGTTTATTATTAACTTCTGTTTACTTATTTACAAAGCCTTACATTAATCTGTAAAAAGAACTAAGAAAATTAATGAAGCAACATCAACAACCAATTACCCATAAATTTACTTAAATTAATTGTTTCAGTCACAAAATGTTTTCAATTCCATTTGGCTTTGAAATTCGTAAGTAAAGTTAAATAGGTATAATTCGCTTACGGCTATTTGTTAGAGCTTTAAAACATTAAAATTAGAAAATCAAAATAATAAAATTTGTACAAAACCCGTTGTGATAGACGTATAAATTTCTTTTAAATATTTATAATTGGGCAAGCTTAAAGCGTATAACAATTCTGAAGCGTATAAATATCCTATTTTTATATGGGTTCCAACAATATACTTACTAGAGTGTATATTAACATTTTATTGCACCGTAAAAAGTCGATAACATCACAAACGTATTACCGCTATAGGGGAGTTTCCTCTCCTGTTTCACTGTATGGTAATCTAACGGCTTTGGTACCTGCTAAAACACCAACGCCTTCTAAACATGATCTTCTGTTTGACAAAACATCTTTTAAAAATGCCCTCCTCGATCCCGCAAAATCAGTTCCAGTAATAGATCTAGTCAGTTTTTTTAACGCTGGTAACCTTAAAGCTTCTTCGTATGTAGGCGGTTCATCAGTTGGTGTAGTTAGAGCCCGACCGCCAAAAGGATCTCTCGAACACGTTGGTGAGAGTTCCCTTGAAAAATATAAGGTATTTTCTCCATTTCTTCTCATTTGAGATTCTGGTATAGGTTCATAATTAACAGTGTTACTAGTTAAGTCTTCTAGAATTTGCCTTGCACTTCTAGCATTAGTTAAAACACCAGCCCAAGATCTCCTATTTTGTTGTTTAGCTTCATTTGACCTGCTAGCGCTACCTGCAATGTTATAGCTTGAATGAGTACCAGCTATGGTAACTCGTGGTCTTCTTGTTGGCTCATCAAATGATGCCGCTTTGATTGTTGGTCGATTTGGTCTCTCGGCTTCAACATCCACTAAAACTGCGTTTGATGTGTTTTCTCCTGGATCTTCTCTGAGAGCGGCATCGATACGCATTGCTTCTGAATAAGAGGGAACTATTGCACAATTACCTCGAATAGCCGCAAATAATTCTAGACTGTCAACTGTAGAAGCATGAGATAGTGGTAAAGTTCGAGGAGGTCTAGATGCAGAACAAAGAACGGCACTTTGTTCATCAGCTAATGCCCATGAATAGTTAGTTGCAGGAACTGGCGGTAAAGTATCTGATAAATGTGTGTCTAAGTCTAATTGTCGACTTGGATCTAATTCGTAGTTTGTACCAAATATTTTTGTTATCTGAAACAAATTAAATATACATAAATTGGTCAATATAATATAGAACTGACTTAATTTAAGCTGGCAGGTATATCTTACCGTATAATGAACATAGGCTGTATTGCATTCTATAAGAATTCTAAGAGGCCAAGAAAGAAGAAGACAGGAAAGAGTCCAGAAAAGTATTTGGGAAGAATACCAGGGGCAGCGATCCGCGTCCCTAGAAATACATAACTCATTAAAATCACTACTTATACGAATTCCTCACTAATTCTACTCAAGTAATAGGAAAATTTTATTACCTGTAAGCGACCATATATTCCTTAAATGAGGTAACTCCTATAAGGTCTAATCCTTCGCGCATTTCCATGAAATCGTCAAATCTTTCATGTTCTGCGAAAAATCTTGATCTTTGGTCTTCAAATTCTGGAACAATAGAAAGGAGTCGTTTCATTTATTTATATATTTTTAGCATCAATGTTTTATATATGAACGATGAATAAAGATTTATAACCTTTTCTTGCATGCAACTTAAGTTTTAAATTATTGTTTTCCAAAACAATTCGACTTAAAGTGAACAGAAAAGTTCAAAGGGAGAAGTTTTATTTGCAATTTAAGACCGCTTTTAGAAAATTCCTTCAAAATAAAATTCTGGTATTTTAAAACGGTGGGTCTTTGTAACATCTGTTTACGATGTTTTGAGGTTTCATTGAGGTAACTTTAAACATTTTAAAGCGATCCGTAGTCTACTTAAATAACACTCATTAAAATTAAGGGGTGTTTGATGTTGTAAAATAAAAACATTTTAAATGCCTAATATTTCGTAACCAACAAGGAATAAACACAAATGAAATTAATTAATTAATTTATTCAATGTTGTTTGGCTTTTGTTTTCTAATTATTATGATAAAAACTAAACAAAATATGTCGCTAATTAAATCTAGCCTTAAATTATTACTAAGTACCTGGGCGACCGCATTTCGCTCGGAGTTCTCTTTTGTTATATCGTATATTTTAGATAAAAAAAAAACTAAAAACTTCAATAAATACAAAAAAAAAAACAAAATTAAAAACATTGTATCCGACCACGATTTGAAGCCGGACACTTATGATTGTCAGTCTTGCGCCTGGGCCGCTTGACCATGATGCTTATACCCGAGCATGCGAATTTAGCGCCCATATTTTGCGTGCAATAATGTGAAAGAAAACCGCCTGAAAACTCGAAAACACGCGTTTTCCCAGACATAAGACTAATCTAGATCGATTTGTCGCCCCCGAAAACCCTCAAACACTAAATTTCAGCGAAATCATTAGAGTCGTATCCGAGATCGCCGGTATAAATAAATAAATAAATAAATATACAAGAATTGCTCGTTTAAATATATTAAATTTACCTATGTACAACGTGACGTGTACATAGGTAAATCTAATATATTTTAACAATAACTGCAGCGTTAAACATTGATTATTACGATAAAAAACAAAAATAGAAGAACTATTAGGAGATATGCATGTCATTAGCTCTGAAGACAACAAATGATTTATTTACTACTAGCGGCTTACTCTCGCTTCACTTGGTTTCGTCCTTAGGTACGTTTTGACTAGATATAAACAGTTAGCCATATAAATTAAAAAAAAACGTGAATTTTTCTGATGTTATATTAGTTATTCTGCTAGATAAATACTTAAATATACAAAACATATTAGCTCTTCTAACTTCAAAAGAAAATTACTTCACTTACCACTCGCCGCTTCAATATTAGCAAAAGCGAAGCCTTTACTAAAACGAACTTTAGTAATAGGAGTTTTGGAATCTAGAACGAGATTTCTCGACGCGTCTCTTTGACCACAGCAGGCATGGGCGAACGATGTACTGGCACTGTGTGTGTTTACTCGTTCATAGTACACCTGCAGGTTTATTAAACTTTTATATTACATATATATGACAAAATATATAAACTCAAAACTAAAATAAACGTTATACAAAATAGTTTTAAAAGGTGATATTAAATATATAATCTATACATATAACAAAATTCTAAGTAACTCGAATCTGCACTGCAAATTAAATATTTTTTATAAAAAATCTAATTGAAATAGCCATTATTATCGATACAGAGTCGGAATCTATAGTTTTTAGAATTTTTGACTGTTTTTCTGGAAACGCATCACGAGAAAACCAGTGTACAGATTTTGATCAAATTTGGTATGATGATAGCTGATCCGCGTATATATATATATCCACATTTGTATAAATGTGGATATATATCCAACATATAGGATACTTTTTTGATTATAAGTTCAATATAAACAGCTTCATGATTTTGCCCGAACGAATATCAGCTCATAATATAAAAAAAAAAATATGTAACATAATTTCGTCTGATAAGGTTTCCACTAGGTCCTTTTTAATAATAATAATAATAATGAACACTTTATTGCACACCACACCAAGAAAATAAATAAAGAAGTGAAATACATAACAATAAAAAGATGCACAGCAGGCGGCCTTATCGCTAAAAGCGATCTCTTCCAGGCAACCTTAGGGTAGAGGAATCAGTATATAAAAATGGTAGGCGGTGTACTTGTATAAATACATACTTATACACATACATATATACATACATACATACATAAATACATACACAAATACATACATACAAACATATATGCATACAAGCAGTATAATAGAAAAATATAATCAGTATTTAAGTTACGTATTTCAAATAAATACATATAAGATACATACAATATCAAATATATTGTACATAATATATTATAATAAGACCAACTAAAGAGATAAATAATGCGTTTTTAACATCATCTTAAACTTGTCCAAATTATCAGCCCGTCTGATGTGTACTGGTAAAGAGTTCCATAGACGTGCAGCTTTCACAGAAAAGGAGTTGGTAAGAAAACAAGAGGAGTGAGAAGGAATTTTGAGGATAAGCGTTTCACTAGAACGCAGGGAACGAGTATGAGAATTCCTTAGAAGCTCGAAACGCTCTTTGAGATAGGAAGGGGTAGAAGGATTAAACAGCACGCAGTAGAGGAGATGAAGTATGTGAGTATTCCTGCGAAAGCGGATTGGGAGCCACTTGAGTTTTTTGCGAAAGTGAGAAACGTGGTCATATTTACGGAGACCGAATATGAACCGTATGCAAAGATTTTGAAGGCGCTCAAGTCGATTCAGGTGCTCCTCTTTAAGGTCAAGAAAACAAATATCAGCATAATCAAGTATTGGTAATAAAAGTGAATTTGCCAGCGCAATTTTAGTAGGTACAGGCAGAAAATTTCTCAACCTGCGAAGGGAGGAAACAGCTCCAAACATCTTGCGGCTCAGTACACTTACCTGGGGCCCCCAGGATAAATGCTGGTCAAAAATGATTCCTAGGTTTTTTACTGTTTCAGTAAAAGGAATTTCAACATCGTTTAACATCACCGATGGTATCAATGACCGAGTAATTTTAGAATGCAGTTTCTGGCTGCCTATTATAATAGCTTGCGATTTAATAGGGTTAATATCAAGGCCATATGATTTACTCCAAGCAGAGATTCTGGCAAGATCATTATTAATTAAATTAATTGTATGAGGTAAGTCTGATAGAGATGTGGTTGCGTAAATTTGTAGGTCGTCGGCATATAGGTGGTAGAGAGTAGAAATTTGATGGCAAATAGAATTAATGAAAATTGAAAACAGGAGAGGAGACAACACGCCACCTTGTGGGACACCGGCATTAATCGTATTCCAATCAGAAAAGGAATCCTCAATTCGTATACGCTGCCGGCGGCCACACAAGTAACTACGAAACCAGTCAATCACCTCAGGAGATATGTTAAGAGAAGTTAATATGGCAATTAGTATATCAAAATCAACAGTGTTAAAGGCATTACTGAAGTCTAATAGTACCATCACGGTAACCTTCTGACTGTCCATACCCTCTCTAATATCATCAGCGATTTTGACCAATGCAGTAGTCGTACTATGACCGATGCGGAAACCGGATTGAAAGGAGTTTAAAAGATTATGATTAAAAAGAAACGTGCTTAACTGTCGATGCACAAGACGCTCCAGTACTTTCGATAGGAAAGGGAGAATGGATATAGGACGGTAGTCAGCAAAAGAAGATGGATTAGACTTTTTTGGAATGGGAATTACTTGACCATCTTTCCAGGCAGTAGGAAACTTATGGGAAAGTAAGGAGGAATTTAAAATTGATGTAATTGTAGGAGCTATTAAGTCAAGAACAGGAACAATCATTTTACGACTAATGCTGTCCGCGCCCACCGCGTTAGATTTTATAGTTAAAATATTTCTCTTAACATCACTAATGGAAAATTGACTAAATGAAAAATATGGAATATCAGGAGTAGGTAAAAGTGAAAGTTGATTAATTGTATTTAATTTGTTTGTACTATCTATAGTACCAGAAAGTGAGAAATGCTGATTTAACAAATTTAAGTCGATATTAAGGGGATTGATACACTGTTGTGCCTTTCCTACTCCAATAGATTTAAGAAAATTCCAGATTTTTTCTGAATCATCTTCGTCGATTACAGATTTATGGATATGGCGTCGTTGACTATCTCTACACACCATATTGCAACGATTACGGGCCTTGATGTATTTCCTTTTATTGTTATCACTAGGATTTGCTGCAAACTTCGATTTAGCCATGTACTTTTTCACCTGCAGTTTTTTAATCTCTGGGGTAAGCCAAGGAGCCGGGAGATGCTTCATTCGGACAGGTCAAACAGGAGCATGAATATCGTAAAGTCCAGTTAAAAGTGACGTGAATATGGACAATTGTTCATCAATGGTCTTTGCTTTTAAAACAACCGACCAGTCAATCCGTTCAGCGTCTTCTCGTAGGCGTTCTACATCCATACTAGCAAAATTGCGCTGCAGAAGAACTCTTGATTTTGCTTTTGGCGGCTTTAGTTTATAAGATAGGTAGAGAAGGTCATGATACGAAAACTCTGGAGCAGAGCACTGACCGTGTTTAATTACGTGGTCAGTGGAAGAAACGATAATTAGGTCAAGGAGCGAGGGACAGCAATTTGGAAACTTATGAGTAGGACGTAATGGAAGTATATTTAAATTGGCTCCATCTACTACATCACGAAGGCGGCTTGCCCGGTTGTCATTCTTTAAGAGACACGTATTAAAATCTCCCATCAACAGAGTATGGTCGTAAAGAGGTCTATACTTGTCTAACAGGATTTCAAATGAAGAGAAATAATCAATTGTTAAACTAGGGTTGTAGTACACACCCAGGAGTATTTTAGCATTTGAGAAAATAATTTCAATAAACATGTGTTCAGCCTCTGCGTTGCCGTGTGATTGAGACAAGTCAATTATGGAAAAGGGAATATGGGAACGCAGATATATGGCTACACCACCACCACATCTTCCAATACGATCATTTCTAATCAAATGAAATCCTGGGAGTCCGTAAGAAGTTGACGGTAGACACGGCTTAAGCCACGATTCGGAAACTAGGATAGCGTGAATATTTTTATTGTCAAAACTAGATAACATATCAGGATAGTGTGCTGGAATACTCTGTGCATTAATATGAATTAAGTTAAAAGTTTTCAGAGCATCTGAGAAATGCGAATCAAGTGTATCATTAAGGGCGGGGATACTACAAAAGCTGTCATTGCTGCTGGGACTTTCAGAGTTAGAGGAAAGTGATAGAAAAGAATCGTTCAAGCTATTATCTCCATACATTATGTATGCAAAATAAAGTAATAATAGACTGTAAATATATTATAAAATATAAATAAATAAATACGTACAAACAAATATATAAAATACACAAAAAAAAACTAAAGAAAAAAAAATACAATAAAATAAAAAATATAGTCCTTTTTACTTAGACATATCTGTACTGTATTTATATATAAATGTTCTCCAAATCTTTTCCCATAGGAATAAAATAGGGAAGCCTTAGCTAACCGGTAAAACATGTCTCAATAAAAGGCATTTATTCGATACAAGCAGTGAGCCTAATGGGTTTTCCCATCGGCAATACAAGTATAAATGAAGGTTTAGCATCAAATGCCATATTTCTAACTTCAAAAATGATGAATTTCCATTCAAAAATTTCTTTCAGGAAGTGAATTTCGAAGCATTCTTCCGTAGTGTTCACTTCCGTTATATAAGGTAGTAAACATTCTTTGGTGCAAAATATCATGCTTCTAAATCCAACGGCTTATCATTGTAATTTGTATACAATTTATTTTCATTCATAGATATGTTGGCTATAATTTTCAATGGGATTTTTTCATGTCATTTAGGTATATTTACTTATACATGTCTGAGTTTTCAATTTGAACATATGTATTAGGAAGAAGAAGAAATAAATTGTCATTTATAACAAAGTACTTAAATTAAACTACATGATGCACGATGATGCAAATGCGTGATGCGTGGTCACGAAAAGATTTTTGATTCAATTGTTGTAGGTTGACCGCTGTTCAGTTTTTAGCGAGTCTCTAAATAAGGTGTGGTTTATTGGTTACTCGTAACATCCTGGATAAATTTTAGACACGTAAAATATCTCAGGAAAAGTCGTATATTGTAACTCTGAGGATATCTGTATGCCAAAACTTCGTCAATCTTTAGTCCTTTGCGATGTAAAAGATGAGCGAACCGATGTATTAACAAACCTCTTTTCCTATTATTAACACCTCCAGATAAATTTCTAAGAAATTAATTAAAATTCTAAGAAATCTATTGTTAACTGACACGCCGGCGTCTGCGGTCGTGGAGGGATTAAGTAACGTAAATACCATTTTCTCAATCTTGTCAAAAGTCCTCATACCTTGACTATACAAAATATAGTAGCAAGTTACTAGCAACTACTGAGAGCATTAAATATGTCACGAAGATTAATATATCTTAATGGTAACAGGTAAAGGCCCTCGTTATCACAAGCAATACCTTCCATTGCACACTTATAAGGTATCAAAGCCCTATTAATTTAAGTAGTGTACTGAATTGTAATTGAACCTCTACTTTAGGTGTAAATATTTAATAACGAATGTCTTGTATATACTTAATACCTTTTAAAAATTTCGCTTATACATAATTTGATAGCTTTTTTAAACAGAAGGGATTTATACTGAATTTTTGTCTACGGCTTCACTCGCGCAGTTCATTTATGCATGATCGCTCCATTCCGTCTCATAGCGCGATGTTAGATAGCCTAAAGGAGTTTATTTATAAAAGGAGGACCCAAACATAAATTAAGCGATAAAATAAAAAATATCAAATGTGATTAGTTCTAGTGATAAATCTTCAGCACTATGATATGATAATGTAAATGACTGCCTCGGTGGTGTAGTGGCTAGCATGTACAGCTGCACACCCGGAGGTCCTGGGTTCGAGTTCCGGGTCGGGCCTAGTTTAGTTATTGAGTCTTTCTGTATAGTAAGCCTCAGTAACAGCCCGAAGTTGGGAAGTTGGCGGGGTTTCACCCCCGTGCCTCGGAGAGCACGTAAAGCCGTCGGTCTTGCGCCTTAACTCTCACTGGTCGTGTCGAACAGTCGTCCCGCCGGAGTATGAGAATGACAGGAATAGAGAGTGCACTTATGTCTGCGCGTACACTTGTGCACTATAATATCTCCTGCGCAGTTGGCTAGTCTCAATGAGATTGGCCGCCGTGGCCGGAATCGGTCAGGAGAACATCATGATAATGTAAAAGGTTACTTATAAATAAAATTGAAATGTCTATCTGTGACTTAAAAGTAGGTATTTTAAGTTCTTAATATGGTTGTGCATAAACCCAAATTACCGGTAAAAATGTTTGTCGGTCTGTCTTTATAGGTGCACTAGAACAGCTTAGTGGATATTAGCAGTACTCACTAGCACATTATATAGGATTTAGATAAGAACGAAGAATTTTTTTATTATGTATAAATAATTCATTGAATTTCAAAAATTATATACTGTATACAAGACGAGAAATGTAAGTTCAAGTGTGCATTTCAGCTTACGATCGCGATGACAAATAGCCTCCTTTTCCCCTTTGTTTCTGCGTATGTAAAGTGTATCGATTGAGACGGGTAAGTTCCTGGAAGGGTACCTACTGAGTTAAAGGCCGTCAATAATATTTGAATCGTTTGAATACGTTATGAAATGTGTTGAAGAATAGATATCCAAAAATTAAACAGTAAATAATAATTATATTTCTATAATCCCATTTGCATTTCAATCGTTTGTGAAAAGGTTGAAACAAATTAAAGTATTTTATACTAAATTGTTGTCAACTGTCCTTGAAACTGTATAAAAGAAATATAATCTAACGATCTAAGAAAATAAATACACGAGTTATCTTGTATAAAAAGCAAACTGACAGTTTTTTTTTGTTTTCATTGCCATTTAAAGTACCATAAACTTACTATTTATCTAACTTGGTTTATTACTTAATTATTTTAGATCTTTCAGTTTACATTACTGTAATTTAAATTTAAATCCACCTCATCTTTAAAATAACATTCCCATTAATGTAAATATGGTGAAAACTTCATTATTGTAGTCAACACCAAATCTAAACCCATCTGTCTACGTTTACTCTACATCTTCACAGGATAAGCTTTACGCTATCACAAAATAGTGTCGTGTTTTAGCCATAAAAACCTTTCCTGAATCCCCGATTTTCCATTTCATTAAATTTACCTGTGTAGTAGTATAGGAATCACCGTTGCGGTATCGCGTGACTTGCCGCTTCCGACGCACGTAGTGGTAGCAAATGGCCTTCCACCTAGTAAAAAACTTTCATATTATTACATTTTCCATATTATGTAATATGGATAAGCTCTTTATTTATAATTATTTATACTTATATGGAAAATAAACATTATGAACTTAATAAAAAAAATTTTTAGTACTATGTACATATTGTTCTACCTTATTCTTTATATTATGTGTAACTTTTAATGATATAGTAATAATATGTTATTAGGTCTTCAAATTAAACGACATCCAAAACAAGATCCATGAATTAATTTCAATATGTAAAATACTTGTTCCACAAAATTGTACATTTTATCGCATGAAGGCAAAAACATTTGATCTAAAAAAGGGGTGATTCTGGCATCCAAACGGTACGGTGCCTTTATCCATCATTTTTTATGTTCTATTTTCCCTTTGGCCGACATGACATTTTGATGTTCGGGCTATGTTTTCGAAATAAGCTACAAAGGGCTAAATAAGATCTATTGTTGTAGCCGATATGAAAATATTTTACAGCTGAACATTCAAATTTAGATCACGATCATACGAAATTGACAAAATAATATATGTATGCATATTTTAATATAGTGTCGCCTCTGTTTTCTCGGGTTAATATCCAATTTGTATTTCAAGGAAATGTCATTGCATTTTAAATTGATTATATATTTTTTTTGATTTTTCCTTTTAGGGTACCTACTCATAGTACCTTTTACGGGTTGGTATTTTCTTGTTTATATGAAACCAAAAACTTTGACCTATTTGTTAAAATTTGACTTATTTATGAAAAAAATCGGATCCCAATTGATGAATATATGACGCGTAAAATATATACCAAAAACACAACCTAAATTAAGTACCTCGTCCTTTTAAAGTAGGTCATTCACCAATAGTCTTTGGTCATCAAATGGTCATCAACCAATTGGATATTCAGATATAAAATGAAAAAAAAACAATCAATATTAACTTACGAGTATATTTAAATTCTTGAAATTTTCTATATTACACAATAGTGGTTCACCTAACTGGAAAGTCGATTTCATGTTTTTTTGGCTTCCGTGTAGTATATATAAGAGAAAATCTATTACAACACAGGATTGAAGCGGATAGCGCAAGTCATTGAATTTTACTACATACATAATATAAAATAGTATAATGTGTGTTACTATTGTGCTATAATAATTGAGAAAGAACGATGAAAAATCTGTTTGTTTTTCATTCGTTATTGCTAAACTTTTATGTTTTAAATAGGTATATATTTGTATGAAATTAAAAAAATCTCTTATCAACTCTCTGGGATTCATCAATTTTATAAATAATAATAATTTTTAAGTTAACTATTTCAATTAATTAAATAAGTTCGTCGAAGCAGCTGCTTAATGTATAGGTATAGGCGTTCAAGAGAAATAACTTTGAGATTACATTTTTTATTGTTATCACAACATTAATCGCGTTATTTATAGCTTTAGGGCGTAGAGGTAAATTATGGGGACGACGATGGTTCAGAATAATGAATTTTAAAACGACCCTCACGGGGCGGAGGCGTACTCGTGATACAATATTCATACTCAAGTTTACCTCATTGAACCACGTGTCAATATAAAGTTCAAACACTGGAGATGAGTTAACTAATTAGTCAAAATCAGTGGCATTAATTTAATATTTGTTGTTAAACTTTGTGAATATTCGTAATAATTAGATAAAAGCCAATTCTAAATAACAACAGACAATGAATTATAATTAGTATACCTAATTAATTATTATTATTCTAAGATAAAACAGTCTTAAAAAATGTCAATAACATTAGCCATACATAATATTTTTCAATGATTTATGATTTACATTACAAGTAATTAGAAGAAGAAGAAGAAGAGAGAGAGAGAGAGATATCAGATGCGTCTAATTCTTTTCCCAATTTTGGAACTTATAAATATTAAATTAAAAATAGCTCTTACCAGACGCGGGGTGTAGCTGTCCTCATAGCATGGACCCTGGCACTGACAGCAGTAACATCTACTCTTCTTGCTAACTGTATCCTCGCAGTACTGTGATAGCATTCCACGAGATACACTACATACAGAAGTAGCACAAAGGCGATGGGTATGTACGCGTAGCCAACGTCGCAGGGAGACTCTCGGACCGTTCGCTTTATTGGATACCTGAGAGATGTAAAACTGTTAGTAGATTAGTCGATGTGTTGATTGTTATTTGATTTATAAATATAAAATCCTTTTTTTTATAAATATGGCTATAGAATAAAATGTTAGTTCCAAAGAGCTCCAACATAATCCTAAGTACCTACTGTACAAATTATAATTATTGCGTCAATGGTTTTCTGCTTGCTGCAAAGTGGCGATTGTGTTACGTTGTTAACAAGAGATATACAAATTTTTATATATTTTAAAAAATATATGTTTTTTTAAATTTACACAGATAAATATATGATGTAACGTAGTATAAAATAAAATTCAACAAGGATAAATTCCTATAAGATATAATATTATTTAACATCAAAACCTAATCATTGGATTTAATCATGCGTATTGGAAAAAAAAAATATTTGTTTTTTATTATATATTTATAATTCTTACATTAAATGAATGTAAGTTAATAATCGATTTTATAGAAAACAAGCGTCAACTGGTGAAGTTAAATGAAATGAAAACGCAGTTGGAGAGTACCGTACCTAAGTTCTTACAAAATTGCACTTCTCTAGTTAGTAGTCTAGCACTGTATAATGGCATGCTTCCGCTAGTTTAGTTTGTAGCCCAGAGTGTTATTGTCAATTACTGTGAATGGCTTGATTACATTTAACATCTTGTTAATTTTAATTGGAATTTCGATTCTATTCATGAATATTTTAAAAATAAAGTCTACTAAGTAAGCCACTTTTTATGAACACGTTATAAATATATATGTTATAAACATAAATATATAACAACACTTCTTATGTTTGCCAGCTCGAGAAAATACAAGTATATACTGAAAAAAAATATTGTAGCCCGGACAATATAATGGATGCCACTTACAATTTAGTTATAAATATTATATACATACATACTTACTTAGTTCTTATTATTAGTTGTTTAACTTAATATACAAATAAATATTATAATATACAAATTATTTATATAATTAGAGGAAGGCAGATAATAGAAAATTGTTTAACAAAATGTGTAATCACTTACGTATTAAGATCAATAAGTTCTCTATCGATCTCGGCAGTGCTACACCACGCGACGGAGCCCAGGCACCCGACGATCATGAGTGTCAACAGGAAACATTTCCAGTTTCCTTCACGGCGCAATACACCACCGATGCTTTGCTGACGAGGGCGCTGTACAAAAATATCTCAATTGAATTCAGTTCCTAGATAATGAATTTTAGACGAGATAGTTGAGCACAGATTAGTTCATGCATGTCAGGTAGAATGAAGAAGACTTTAGAGATTACAGTTGGTTATATTCATAGAATATCTTGTTGTTAAAGCTAACTAGTAGTATAAGCTTATATTTAACTAGTTCTGCTTGTATGTCTGTTTTTTCTTTTCAGTTAAAACTTACTTATCAATTTTGTAACGCATAAATCTACTATTTAGTATGTCTATGGCATTTCGGTGTAAATAAATTAAATTATTACATGAAATTGCTCATATGATTACTTATATATTTCTAACTCGTACTCTTCTGATTCGAACCCGCGACCGTAGGCACAACAACTAGGATCACTATAAACTGGCCCAACCTGTCGTCAAATTTATAAGCAAAAACTTATTTAAAATAATAATGTTTACATTATTTGTTTAAGTACAAAAAAGTCTACAATATTATTGTAATATCTACCATACCATTAAATTTTAGGTAAATAATAGACGTGAACCTTCATATCAATTACTTTTCTTCGCTTTTACATGAAACATATATTTTCTTTTTAAAACATGCAAAACTAAAGTTTGTGAGGCTTTACGTTCAGTTCTATTTTAGAGGTTAGTAAAGAATTTATCAGCGTGCATTTAATTTTTAGCATACAAAGTTTATAAAGTAGAAATTGTCCTACAAATTATTTATATTTATATACCTACTTGTCCTTACGTTAAAAGTATTTCAAGAAATTTTATAAGCAATCGTTCATTTTATGTAGGTATAAATACTACTGTATAGTGTAGGTATATGAATTCATTAAAAAGAGCTTAAAACGCGTAACTGAGTAATTTTTCATCATTCTCATCTGCATTTCTTGCTTGTAATACAAATACATAGAAAAAACGTGGCACGAAAAGCACTACCATTTAAAAAAATATTATAACTAGAAGAATTACTTTTTAAACACAACTTTAAAGCTCTACAAAAAAGCGTAAATGTCTATAGACTAGCATTAAGGAACAAACTTTAGTGCCTAACTTATAGCATCGCTCTTGGATAAAGGTTTTACTTGAGTTTACTTATTTATAACTTGTTATAAAGGAATTAAATGCATTAGCATTATTAAATGCCACACCCAAATTTCTCTGAAGCACGTCTCTAAGTAAGTTTTGCCTAAAATGCCTAAAATTTCACAGGAGCCACTCGATGACCAAAAAAATAGACATAAAGTAGCTTATATTACTCTCCAAAATTCTTATTACACAAAAATCATCTCGAAATGTTTGTTTGTGAAAGAAATACAAACCACAAAACAAATATATGTACATACTTCTATACTATTAATAATTTTAGCAATATTACTTAATCAATTTTTAACACAATATGAATAAAAGTATCGTGTAAAACATTCGTGTTAACGAAAATCTACCATTTTTCCTTGTTGTTCCCATAACAAAGCTATTTAAACTTTCAGTAGAATCCAATATAAATAAATCCACGTCAAAATGCGATACTCAAAATTATCATATATGTATTACGAAAAAACACGAAATGGAATATTTTTATTAAAGAACTCGATAAATATTTGATCAGACGGTCAATAGAGACCTAAATAACTTTGCCCGGGCTCAAAACTAAAGGTACGTTTGTACTGTTCACGAAATATGTTGACGTAGGACGGTGAAAACCAATTGTGTAGACTTGACCTTATTTACACTTCCCTAATAACGTTTCGAGATTCCCGAGGGTCAAACATTTTTAAGCGGGATGAGTTTTCGAGGTACAAACATAATTTGTTTTGTTTTTGTCGAAAAACAAAAATTCGCATCATTAATTTTTATTGTAGTTACATATTATAGACTATTACAATCTAGAAAGGTATTACTAGGAAGATTAGCATTCTAGAAATTAATACATTCATGAAATATCATTTTCCATTCCAGATAAAATATTTATTCCATAAAATCTGTTAATGAGATATTTAAGGTTGTTGAAATTTAGTATTTAAAAAATTGGGGGGCTTTAAAATAAACGAATACCAATTTTGCGAGTTAATTAGAAATTTAAAAAAGTCACTTTATAAAACTCATACATTATATTATATATAAAATGAAAGGGCTCGTTGTAAGAAATATGTATTTTATGTTTTTCTTAAATTTTGGTGCACTATTTTTATAAGTCGGTGATAATTTTAAAAATCTCGGTATTGTAGGCAATGAATGCTGGCTTTAATTTAATACGAAGCTTTAGGATGAATATCAAACAAAGAAACCTCATTGTCTAAATACCTCAAGATTATTTAGACTTCGACAATTTTAGGCGATACTCAAACAGATTATAAACTATACCTCCAGTAAATCGTAACTAGAGATTAGAGGACACCAATTATATACCACATTACCGCAACTTCTGACTGCCAAACACTAAAGTGATCAATCAATCAACTCGCAATACTGAGTAATTTTGTAATTATTTCATAAAGCTAATTTAAAAAGACATTATCTGTTTTTAATAATAGTTATACTATTTGAAATATTTTGTATGTTCATAATGAAATATTTTTAATACTTTTTTCAAATAAATCTAAAAAATAAATTATTTCTATAAAACGCTCTATATATTAAATATATTTTCTACTCACAAAGACCAAACATATTGTCATGCATAGTAGGAGTTTTATTAAAATGTCGATCACGGAGCTTTGACCTGTTAACTGAAATGAAAGGGCTTTGAAATTCAGCTTCCATTCATAGAGAATTTGGTGACTTAATTAATATCTGATTTATCTGTAATTGTACTTAGATTACATTTAAAAATGCTCTAAAATCTTCATTGTTTTACTAACCCAAAACATTAAATACCAAACATTATATATAAGTTCTCCTGACCGATTTCTGCAACTAGCCATCTGCGCAGGAGATATTATAGTGCACAAGTGTGATGATATTCTCCTAGCCGATTCCGGCTACGGCGGCCAATCTCATTGAGACTAGCCAACTGCGCAGGAGATATTATAGTGCACAAGTGTATGCGCAGACACAACGTGCACTCTCTATTCCCGTCACTCTCATACTCCAGTGGGACGACTACTCTACACGACCAGGGAGAGTTAGGGCGCAGGACCAACGGCTTTACGTGCTCTCCGAGGCACGGAAGCGAAACATCCCCAACTTCCCAATTCCGGGCTGTTACTGAGTCTTACTAAACAGAAAGACACAATAACTAAACTTGGCCCGACCCGAGACTCGAACCCAGGACCTCCAGATGTGCAGCCGTACATGCTAGCCACTACACCACCGAGGCAGTTGTAACACAAATATTATATAAATTTATGAAAAAATATTGGATCCGTAATCATTGACAAATAAAAATATCTCATAAAAGAAAAAATGGATTCAAGTATACATCCAATATAATTTTATCATAGCTCAAATATTCAACAGTATTTCTTTCAGTTTTTAATATATCTTGAACTTTTTTGTTCAACGGCAATACAATTTGACCTAGATTTTCTTGAATCTCTTGATAGTTACGAAATCTTTATTAATTTATATGAAAACATAACATTATTATGTATTTATTGGATATTACAAAAGATAACTTATTTTATAGTAAACGTCAGTCAACCGTAAATGCCGTAATTATACAGAGCTTAAAAGTGCTTTCAATACAGTATCAATAATTTTATTAAAATTTATGTACCTAAATGAAATAATAGCAGTTTCGGTGTTTTGACCAAATAGTTGAAAAAGTTAACGCTGTATTCTTGAATAATTTACATAGCAGTTCTTTTTTTTAAATTGTATTTAGTTTAGTTCTTTTTAATTATGTATTACAATGTTTGTAGAACCCTTTATTCTGGTTTTACTACCTCATGTACGCTTAGCGCCTCCAAAATAAATAATAAAAATGGAATCGAGAAGAAAAAGGAAGGTAAAGCTATTATATTACTATTATTAATGTGGACATTTGAAAGCGATTTAAGTACGTACTTGTACATTTATTGCTTTTTCACGAGCTCAACGGATTCTAGTGGATTAACTCATAGGCTACTCTTTAGGTCAAGTACCTCGTATGATGGAGCCGCAGATACAAACTTGTTAACGAAATGAACATTTTTCTATGCTTATGCCTAAATTCCACATATTTTCTTCATAAAAAGCTCTGAAATAGAGTAGGTAATATGCTTTAAGCTTATGGTCGATGAGGCGATAGTTCATCTTTTATTTTGTCATAATTAGGTAAACTTAAAAAATTAACGAGGAACCATTAGTAAAAATCACGTTATAACTTGACTGAATACAAGATTTTACATAGTAATACTAGTAACTCACCCGCTTCGCACGGGTCCGACCCTACTGCAAAACAAAAACACAATCTTACCCATAGGAACCGTACATTTTTTCGAGGTAAAAAGTAACCTATAAGCGAGCTACTACGAATTCCTGTGTTGCTTTTTCTTTTCTAAGCTTTGTGTATTTTGGTACAATAATAATGTATATGGCTCAAGTTTTTCTTATTTAGTTAAAATTACACAATATTGAAATGTTATATAAATATGTTCATTTGGCCGGTTACAGCTCACTGAGAATAGTCAACTGCGTAGGAGATATTATAGTGCATAAGGGTACGCGCTCCCTAGTGCCTAGCTAGATACGAGTGCAGCAGCCAGCACTCTCTATTCCTTTCACTCTCAAATTCAATGGTACTATAATTCAACAATACCGTTATGAGATCAGGCTTTACGTGCTCTCTGAGACACGGGGAGAAAGACTCAATAACTAAACATGTCCCGACCCTGAACTCAAACCAAGGATCAACCTCCGGATGTGCAGCCGTACGTGCGAGCCGCAACAACATCGAGGCAGTTAAAAATAATAATATTGTAATGATTTCTATATAATAAGAAAATTTCCATAAAAAAACCCATGTGCCATCCCAAAGTATCTTCATGGGTTGGCAGTATATTATTTCAAAGCTCCCTTAAATGGCCCCGGAGAATAAAATAATGTATAAAAATAAATTAGAATAAAAATAGGTTATGTTCACATTCATAATTGTTATGATTCATGCTATATGATTTTTTGATATCTATTTTGAAGCTAAATTGTAAAATGATAGCTTCCTTTTTTACGTACAATATTAAGGATACAAAAGTTAAAACAATATAGAATTCCATGTGGAACAATGACGTAACAAAATGAATGCGTTCTCCAACGCGGTGAATTCTGTTCAATTGTACATTTATAACGTAGCTTTTATATTCTTTATTCTAAATACATTTGAAATTAAATTTAAAGAAAAGATGAGTTTATCTAAATACACTTGAAATAAAATTTAAAGAAAAATAAATATAAAGTAACCTTATTTATTCACAAAAGTAGTAAAAAAACTAAGTTTCTATAATTAAAGCTTGGTAAGTGTATATTATAGAAATGAGAAGATTTAAAGATTAAAATTATATATCTATACATATAATAAAATTGTAACTAAACCGAATCTGTACATTAAATATTTTTTGGAAAATCTTATTCAAATAGACATTATTATCGATACAGAGGCCGAATTTATAGTTTTTAGAATTTTTGTCTGTCTGTCTGTCTGTTACCGCATCACGAAAAAACCACTGAAGGGATTTTGATGAAATTTGCTATGGTGATAGCTGGTTATCCGGGTCAACATATAAAATACTTTTTACAGCGGGAAAATATCTCATTTCTGAGAAAAAATACAAAAACTGCAATGTAAGAGCATACTAATATGTTAAACCTAAGAATTTGGGTTTTGGTCATCTGAACGCGGGCGGAGCTGCGGGCAATGCTGGTTTCAAATAAAAGGCAAAATTAAGAATCAAGTATAAATACATATTAGCAAATCATTAATGTGGCTTCTTGTTCATGATGTATTAAGAGCATAATTAAGATGTCATGTCAAAGTAAATACCCACATCCGGTCTCAATTAGAATCTCACACAACCAAGCTACAATTTCAATAAGTGAAAGGAGCTTAGCAATTCTAGTTAACCAAAATTCACGACGGTCCAATTCTCCTTTATTCTCGTTTTAGTACTAAAACAAAAGACATTTGACCGTAACCTCTGCAGTGAAATTCCGCTATCCGTAAGAATTATTCAAGTGAACTTCAAATTAAAATATAATGTAACAAAAGATAATATACATATATTTTTGAATAAATAAATAATAACTTTGTGTGATGTAAATATATCTTGTTTGTATATACATATTATAGACTTTAACTATGTAAAAGGATTATATTCTAAATTCGTAACGTTACATAAAATAACACCACGCAGCACCCTTCCCTCCCACAGTCAGCAAACGTATTCCATGAATGGCCACTAAATCAATAATTATAATTTGTGACATAACAAAGCTTAACAATAACGGCAGAGCTATACAAATACATTAAACATTCCAAGCTTTTCGCTTTTACTTTATGTTGGCACCATCTGTTATACCAAATAAATATATTTTATAGATTAAATTAAAGTATAATAAGATATTTATTTAGATGAGAGATATTTACGTACAGTGGAAAATATTATAAAGCAAAAGTATGAGTGAGTGATACTTCTTCATGTGTGTAAAAGCTTAACAAAATTTGTTTGAAGTTTGGAATGGAGATAGCTTATATTGAATCAACATGTAGGTTACTATTTATTATAATGCCTACTTATAATAATACCTGTTATTTATAATACCTACTAGTAGAACCCGCGACTTCGCTCGCGCTAAAACTACAAAAAAAAAAACTCTTAAATGGTAAGTTTCATACAAACTTTCATCCGCTATTTTACCCCCTTATGGAATGAATTTCGAAAAATGCTAAAATATGTATTTCATTAATTATATTGAAGAGCATTAATACCAAGTTTCAAGTAATTCTGATCATAAATATTTTTTGGATTGTATTATGACGTGTTTTCCCGTGGAAAGAGAAAATCTCCCGCGGTAAAAGTCTATATCACTCTCCAGCCCACCAACTAACTATCTCCACACAAAAAATCACGCCAATCCGTCAAGCCGTTTCGACGCGAAAAAAAGACTAACAAACAAACAAACAAACAAACAAACAAACAAACAAACAAACAAACAAACAAACAAACAAACAAACAAACAAACAAACAAACACACTTTCGCATTTATAATATTAGTATGGACTACTTCAGCGGAGATATAAGTAAGATAAGGTATAGTAGTAATCAGTGTTAGTAGCAATTTTATTAATTTGACAAGTTCATACATGAATTTCCTACAATACGTATTTCTCGATATTATTATAAAACATGAGGCGTAAGCGTGGGTGTTTGCTAGTCTTCTATAAATGGGCTGTTTGGATTCACACCATACAAAAGCTTGTCACGTAATCGCGTTATATTATACACTTTCTTCGGCTACGTTTATAATGTTAAAGTGAATGTTACACGAAAGCTTAGTTTTATTTATAACGGGCTAATTTGCTCTTAGGATTTTTTGAAATTTTGGAATAGCCTAAGTATATTATTATTATATGTCATGAAAATGAAAAAAAATATAGTATATATATTTTTATTTCAATCCATATAGAAAGAAGCAAATTTTAACGATAGCGTACGGTGAAATAAACAATTCAACCAATTTAATTGATTGTATTACGAATAACTCTTTATGGGAGCGAACTTTACAGGCTCTTTAAAATATAATTGAAATCACTTAGTTCAATTAATATAACATATTGATACGTACATTATAAATTTATTTTCTACTAGGTTTATCCTCGCTTTGCTCGGGTGGGCAATGATTTAGGAACACATAGATGGAAAACAAACGCAGAACAGCACACTAAAGATTCATCACAATTGGATTAATGGTTTTGGAACATTTGGAACACCAACAAACATTTATTTTC